GATCCCTTCAGGCCCCCCAGGACTGGAGCTGTGCATGTGCCTTTGGAAGGATCTCCTCCCCTGTCAATTTGGGGGGTTAATGTTGTTCTTAGACTGAAAATCAGCAGAGCGATGTATCGTCTCTCAGTGCCTGGTAAGGTTCCACATACCCCTTATATCAGGGCTTCAAGGTCCTGGTGCTGGAGACCCACAGTCCTGCTGGGCTTTGCTCCAGATGAGCTTAATTACCCCATTGAGACCTTAACTGGATTAATTTGACCTGTATACTGTATGCTTGTTTTCAGCTCTTAAACACGTCGGAAGTTGCCTCGTAACTATTGCATCTCGTGCATAATAAATTCCCAAACCTCTGAGCAGAAAGAACTTCCAAACATTCAGATCAAGCAACTTGTTTAATCAATTAAGGCTTCAATTAACTAGTGAACTAGAATGAAAACCAGCAGGTGGGTGGGTCTGCAGGGTGTGAAATGATTGGTTGATTAGTTCGTTGGTCAGGAGCTCTTTCTGCATGTTGGAAATTCTCTGAAACCGTTCAGGTTGCACAGTGTGAGAGAGACAGTAGATGGGTGGGCTGTACTCATGAGAAAAACTGCGCTACGGCTCAGAGGACACATCTCCCTTTAACTCTCTGGCCCATCCCTCTTCCAGAATATTGCGTACAGTTGTTGTCACCGTGTCCTAAAAACCTCTGCTGCTCTGGAGTCCACCCAGAGAAGAGCCACCAGGTTCCTCCTGGAGCAGAAAGGAATCTCCTGGGCTGGTAAGACTCACAGAGCTGCACTCCTTCTCAATCCTGGACAGAGAAGTCAGACGAGGTCGGCCCAGCCGATTTCTTCTGAATGAACCGGGAACCGCGGGCCAGAGGACGAGCCGCCCGGCCATGTGGCCGAGGCACCGCTGCGTTTCCTTTAAGTGATGGCCGAGCGAGACTCCTGGATCAGTCCCTTCCTGGCCAACAAACAAGGCAGGGAGGCCATTCAGCTCATTTCTTTCTTTTGTCCTCTCATGTCCTCTGAGATGCACACTGACCACCCCAGTGGGGGCCCTTCAACAATGTCAATCGTCTGGAAACCATTGCAGGGAGATGGGTCAACAGGTCAGAGATTATTAACCTGCGCCGAGCTCGCTCAGGGCTGTGAGGTTAATTAGAGGTTTGCTGCAGCTGTGCTGGTGTCGATCTCCAAGAAACAGGACCAGTGGCGCTGGAGGGAGGGGGTGTCTCGAGTTTGTCCTCCCTGTTGTGATGAATTTGGGTGAAAAGGGAGAATCAATGCTTGGAGTGCTGTTGCACTGAATGTAATTACAGCATGAACAGAGAGCTCGCTGACATCCATGAGCGAGGTCACTGTGTTCCAGGCAAGGTGCCTTCAGGGCCCCCCACCCCAGCTCTTTTGGATCGTGCTATTTAGCTTGATCAATTGCTGGGTATTTACCAAGCTGGAAGGCTGTCAGCATCTCAGCACGCCAGGGGAGAGGCAGGGCAGCTACTGTCCATGCAATAAGCCTGCTCAAAGGAAACAGCTCAATAACAATAATAATCAATTTTATTTATAAATTTTTCCAAATCCAAGGACACAGCAAATAGTGATCGATAGATAGATAGTTTATGGATCCCATGAGGGAAATTGCAAATTGCAATTGATAAAGAAAAGGGTATAGTAGAGCATACAGGAGTAGACAGGAGCACACAGGAGTGTACTGCTGGAGTGCAGGGCTGTCACACTGGAGCAGTGACAGAAAAAGCAGGGGCTCTGGAAGTACAGATGTGGTCCTGGGGACAGTGAGGAGAGAACCAGCCTCAGCTGAGCGGAGCCTTTAGGGGCAGTGCAAACATGGAGGAGCTCGGAGATGTATGATGGAGCCAGATTGTTCAGGGCTTCGAAAGTCAGCAACAAGATCTTGTACTGAATACGTGATTCTACAGGCAACCAACGTAGAGACTTAAGTGTAAGAGTGATTTGATGCTAAGATCTGGTGTGAATTAGTAGTCAAGCTGCAGAGTTTTGGACTTCTTACAACTTGTTGCAGAAAACAAGCCTTGATGTTATAAATGCATAAATCAGGCACTCAGCATCAGACATTGAAATAAATTGCCTAATGCAGGCGATATGTCTAAGGTGAAAGATATCTCAATCAGATTTTTTGCATTGGGGCTCAAAAGACATCAGAGGATCAAGTGTGAGTCCTAGAGTCCTGACTTGGCTGACACACGAGTGGGGATCCCTTCAACCATTATTGGTTGAAGTTCAGAGTAAAAACACTGCTGCAGGGCTAACTAGGATTGAAACACCTGGTCTCCAGTCCTGCTTCTGTGGGACCACGCACCTGCTGGTCCTTGTTCCAGCAGATCTCCTAGTTACACAATTGAACTAGTAACCAGTTAGCTAATTACAGGTAACTAGGATTTAAACATCTGGTCTTACCTCACAGCACTGCAGCCTGCATCTAATAATTTAATGTTTTACATTTGCATTTCAAGATGGCTTTGGACATCGTGTACTGAGAGGCATTAATGATGCAGCAAGGCCTGTGTCGCCAAAACCCTTTCTTTGCGTTTTTAGTGCCTCTAAGTATTCACTATCGCCAGTTTACGAAAATGAAAGCTTATACTGAATAACATCATGGACAGGTGCGTAGAAAAAGTGCTGAAAGCTGTCGTGAGCACCGTCAGGCAGCAGAAGCCCTGGAATGCTCCTGCTGTAAAAACTCAGATAACAAAGGCAGGGACTGTGGGGAGCAGCAGAGACTCTCCCTTTGGGATGCAAATATGTAACGTGAGGATGTTCGGTGCTTAATGTATACTTTAGAAGCCCAGCGCTCAGTTCTAATGGATTTAATCAAAGATAACAGGACTAAGATGAGAGAAGAGAGAGAAGGAGGAAATGGAACAACGCCCTGGCAAAATGGGAGCAGCGTCACGTTAGTCGCAGGTGTTTTGGCAGTACCGACCCCTGCGCCTGATGGGCCACTGGACCGGGAAGCTCCGGGCCGCTGTAACCGGATAGGAAAGGCTGGGTGGTCCCGGGTGTCTGGTTCTCTTGCCGAGTTGTTTCCAAGCTCCAGCTGTTGGCTCTGAGGGTCTCGGCTGAGGAGAGCTGCAGCAAGGGCACAGCGCTGCTTTCTTGAGTCCAGGCCACTGAAACACCAGCCCAGTGTGGCCTGGCATTATCCTGCTGGACAACCGGCCCGCAACAAGAACAGAACTGCTGGTTGAAGGACTTGTGCCAGAGCGTCGCTGAGCCATAAGCCCCCAATCTGTGCCAGCGGTGTCCCCGTCTTAAGGAAGATTAAAGCCAGAGCATCAGACGTCCACCAGCTCACTGGCTGGCTTGACCAAGCTGACCATCAGGACGATGGTTATCACCACATCCCAACGTCAGCCGGTCTTCCGCTGGGTCTGCCAAGGGCAACGTGTCCCTCATCGGGGGAAAAACACACTCCGCCATCTCTTGCTGATGTTCTCTGAGCCACAGGTCACCACCATGATTTCATCTGTCGATCGTTTCTCCCTGTATGACCTCCAAACATGCAGGTAATCTTTATCCAGATATGAGTTACAGTCATTCTGCTGATGTACAGGATATTAATTCCTGTCATTCGAGAATCATTTCATCCATTGCTTTCATCAGCAGAGAGATCATTTCCTAACTGTTTAAACGAATAAAATGAATAGTCCAAAATGATCGAACTGTCATTCGTGACAACTCGGGGGTGGACTATAGTGCACTCAAGCAGCTCTGACTGCTGCATAGGTGTGAAATCACCTCATTAGTGCGTGAATACCACTGAACGTGCTGAATGAACTGGGGAGACGAGACATCAGGCGTCAGGGGACTCAGACCAGTAAACAGGCACGCGCTTGTCCAGGATTTAGGACAGCAGTGGGACAGAATCCCACGAGATGGAATCTCCAGTCTGGCAAAGCCACGCTGCTGGCCTGTGGCACTCACAGCAGACACCCTGCTGATGACAAGGGCTGTGAGCATAATGAGTTGACCTTGGTCTCCTGTGTTTGGTCGAATGGCTATCCCTCGCCGTTGAGGGGGAACAGCTTCCCGGGACAGCCTGGAACAGGTGGGATGTCGGCTCACACTGTGCTGTGCCATTTGTTCATGGTGAACTCTGCTCAATGCTCTCACTTCCTTTCTCATTCTGACACCCTCGGGCTCCTTTCCAGGTAGTTTTCCTCCACCTGGTTCGGACACCAGGCTGCATCCACACTGCAGTTCAGACCCGCTCACCGCAGAGGGGGAGAGGGTACCGACGCTTCGGGAACAAGCACCCTAGTGGAGCTCCTTGCACAAATCCAGCAGCCTCCTTCAGCCCCACCCCTTATATATATATATAGTAACGCAACGGGGGTTCAGGCGGGCGCCCTTGCCGCATTAGGTCGGCCCCCCACCGTCGGGGGCTCGAACCCGGGGCTCCCGCGTCACTCAGCAGGGACCCAGCCCGGTGAGCCAAAGAGAGATCTCTCTCAAGTAGTCCTGCTGTCACAGGCAAGGGCGGTGACGTCACCGCTCTGGTAAGCCGGCTCTTACACAGTGACTGTCGGCCGTAAGCGTTACAATATAATCAACACTTTTTACCATTCGTGGTTTGGGGGTTAGCCTACGTGTCGCGGTAGCGTTATGAAAAATATGATTAATTTTACTTACATTTTCGAACTAACAACGCGATCGTTCTTGCCAATTACACTTTAAATAATAATAATAATAATAATAATAATAATAATAATAATAGCAGTAGTAGTAGTAGTAGTAGTATCAGTGATTGAAGCACAACTTTGTTAAGAACACAAGGCGACCCGTAGCAAAACACTCCCCCCAACTCCGCTGTTTAAAATAGAGCATAGGCCTTCCTTTGACACGCGTCCCCATGGCGACACAGTCGGCCGATTGAGGTGGGGTCTTTTCATTGGTCGCCCCTGGTTCGTCCCCGCGTCTGATTGGGTGCAGCGGGGCCGAGGTTTCCTGGGAGGAGGCGGGACCTGGGCTTCCCGGAAGAGGCTCCGCCCCTGTTGAAGTGCTAAGTCTTCTTGTCGGCGCACAGCTGAGAGTGTCCGAAGTCGACCCGGTTCAGGGAGTTCGTTTCGCCTGTGACAGCATTGCACTGCACCATTTTACTCTTCTGTCATAACTTCTACAAGGTAGGATTGTGGAGGGTTGCTATTACTTACGTCCTCGCCGCCCCTTTTGATCTGTTTCCCCATAATTGCATACCCGGGCTGTTGACGAGCTTTCTTACAGACCCCGACGTTCATCTGACTGCCTGTACACACACACACATAGCAGAAGTTCTAGATCTGCGTGTGCGACGTCGTGAAATGCGCGGCACTTATCATTTCTGGTTTCGTCATAGTATCGTTCTGCTAAGGAGCTCTTCGGCTGCCGTTAAGAAATGAGAGGGATGTGGTCGGTTGGGGCTTGCTTCATGAATGAACAGTGAACCCCTTGAACCGAAATGAGAGCCGGTCGGGATGTGGCTGTCCGCCGGTTCTCCCGCTGCACGGCGAGTTTGGGGCTCTCCCGGGCCCCTGGTGGGAGCCTCTCACCCCGCAGGAGCACAAAAGCAGTGTCAGCTCTGACACTGGGAAACAGCGGGGCTCCTCTGCGGGGGGGGGCAGTGTCTTCACCCTTCCTGGGCAGAACTGCGAACCTGTCGCCCCGCGTCACGTCTTTCACGACAGACCTTCGCCAACCGGCGACTAAAAACTGACGTTTCCTCCGGGGTGTAGTCTCTCGAGTTGGGGGGTGTTTCGGTTATTACTGCTCTAGTTATGGGAGGGGACAAGCCCTTTGCTTTGGTCGCTGCCTAATAAGATGACGTGCTTATAATGTATCATAAGGTAATAATGGACTGCCTTGTCTTTCTCATACCTGAAGAAGGCTCCAGGGCCGAAACGCTGCGTTTTCATTCTTCTCTCTTCAGCACGGAATAGACCTAATAATGTCATGTCATGTCATGTCATGTCATGTAAGCTGCAAAGACACTACTCGGGAGTCCAGTTGTCAGGTGTGCGTGTTAAAACGGCGATGTTAGTGGACAATCCTGACTTGTCTCGCCGTGCGCTCAGTGCCAGGTGAGCAGAGCGCGACTCGGGGCGGGGGGGAGAAAAATGCTGAGTCACCCGCCTTGCGACGCCTCGGGCTGTGCCGCTCCTCCATTCAGCCACACCGGGAGCCGCAGATCTCCGATTACCGGCGATCCGTCTCCCCATGGGCGTCTGCTCGTTGATATTGGTCGCACAGGGAAGGGGGCGACTCTCTCCGTCTTTCTTTCAACTGCGCACGCTCTGTAGCTTTCAGTAAAGTCGGGGTGTCTTACCCTGAAGGAGGGGTAGGGGTGCCCCTCACAGCTCTCTGAAACCCTGGTTCCCCCTCCCAGGTGGAGCCATGTCCAAGAAGATCCAGGCGGGCTCGGTGGTGGAGATGCAGGGGGACGAGATGACCAGGGTGATCTGGGAGCTCATCAAAGAGAAGCTCATCTTCCCCTACGTAGGCATGGACCTGCACAGGTAATCTCGCTCTGCAGAGGCCCCGTCGGGACCCGCGACCCGAGACCCAGGAATCGGCAGTGCACTGAGCCAGCCGCGGAGTGGACCGCAGTCTAGCGAGCGCACCAGGTTCGAATCTGGTTCGGAGAGTTGTGTTCGTCATGTGTGCGGAGCCCAGTGAAATGCGTGAAAAAAATAATAATATATAATAATTGCTTGCACTTATAAAGGGCTTTTCTGGACACTCCACTCAAAGCTCTTTACAGGTAATGGGGCTCCCCTCCACCCCCACCAGTGTGCAGCCCCACCTGGATGATGCGACAGCAGCCAGAGTGCACCAGTACTCTCTCTACACTTCAGCTCTCAGTGGGGAGGAGAGCAGAGTGATGAAGCCAGTTCAGAGAGGGGTATTATTAGGAGGCCATGACTGGTAAAGGCCAGGGGGGGAATTTGGCCAGGATGCCGGGGTAATACCCTGCCGTGAAGTGACCACAAAGGCTCAGGATATTGTTTTTATGTCTTTTACAGTATAGTAAAATATGTCACTATACTGGGCCATTAGGACCCAAACAGATTTTAGGGTCTGCTCCTGGAGCCGGGCTCGGAACCGGGCTGGAGTCGAGCTGACACCGGCACGTCGGGCTTTGTGATCTGACACTTCTCGATGAGTCCTGCTTCTTTCTAATGATCCACAGAACTCCATAAATTCCTTAATAACTCTGCCATTCACTGTTAATGCTGTTAGGCTCAACAGCTCTGATACAATCTTTCGTGCTGGACATTGATATGGGTGTGCTGTCTAATCCTGTGCATCAGTACTGCGAGTTGAGATAACCAAGAGATTCCTGAGCTCGTTTCCCTTCCGGTTATTTTGACGTTCCCAGGGAGATTTTGGATCTCTTGTCTGGGCAGAAGAACAAGTTTTTCACCCCCAGTTTGTAAGGATAAACCCATACCGAAGGATATGAAGATTTCTGTCTTTACGGTCCATGGCCAAAGACAGAGGCTCCTTGTTCTTTTTATCCGGCTTTCAACTGGTAAACAGGCCTGCTTCCGTCAAATGGTGTGCCAGCAGCGTTGGGGTTTTTTTTTTGCATTGTGAGAAAGGTTGCACTCGGATCGCCCAGCTTGGTGGACTCGTTAGACTGGACCCAGTCTGTTTAACCAGCCCCCTCGTGCTGTGGAGCTGCGGGGTGATGTTACACACCAGCCCGATAAAAACTCGAGCTGCGGGACTCATCCCTCAAGGAGGGGAGCCCTGTACACCCCTGTTCGCCTCCAGAGTGCACCGGTGATCCCTGCCACAGTGGGACTTGTTATTAGCGTCAGTAAGCAACTGAGTTTACCCCTTTTTCTTGCAGATGGCGCAATGCGTCTCTGTGAGATTGCGCCTGAATCGCGTGTTTGTTTTTGCGTTGCGCTGATTCTTCAAGCAGCGAGCGGCAGGGCATGGCGCTGGAAGAGCGTCGCCATTGTCACGAGAGCGGGGGGGGAGGGGGGAAGTGGGTGAAAGGTCGTGGGGGGGGGGTGAGGGCTCTGATCAGCGCATGTGTCTTACAGCACTGTTTCTCAGCCCTGCTCCTGCTCCTTGTTCTCAAGCTGAGCTGCTCATTAAGTGAATTAAATTGGCTGATTGTTTTTCTTATCTGCAAGTCGGTCTTAGTTTTAGATATGCAGTCCTCTAGGTGCATAATTTCCACACAAAGGAGCCTATGGAGCCGTATTAGTAGTAGGAGTAATAATAAATGTTTTATTTTATAAAGTGCCTTTAAAAAGTGGCTTCTCAGAGCACTTTACAGTAAAAAAAAAAAGACACAATGAGTGGAGATAGCAGAATTACACAATTACAGTAAGGGGTTGGCATACAGTATGATAGCAAAGGGGCAGACACAGAACCAGTTAACTCAAAGAAGAAGGTTTTGAGTCTTGATATGAATGCACTCAGGGAAGGTGGCTCTCTGATATCCTTGGGAATAGAATTCCAGAGCTCGGGACAGCAGCAGGAGAAGGCCCCGTTGCTCACAGAGTGTAGACGGGCTTGGGGAACAGACAGGAGACCAGAATTAGAGGCATGAAGGTTGTGAGGTGGAGAACTGTATGACAGTAAGACAGACTGAGGTGCCAAGCCATGCAGAGCCTTATAGGTGAGTTGAAGATTTTGAAGGCAACATGAAACCTGAACGGAAGCCAGTGCATGGACTCCGGGATAGGAGTAATGTTATCACTTGCTCTAGGCCTGGTGCTGTGATTGTTTTCATTTGTTTGAAATGTGCCCAGCTTTTTAAACTGCTCCTTACTGGCCATTGGTCACTACTGGACAGACAGGGTGTGACTAACACTCTGGTCATTAGCATTCTCAGTGCTACGGTGGCCCACCCAGTCTGGAAAGCGGATTTTAGCTCAATGTTTCAGGTTCAATAAGCCTAGTTAGTGCATCTCACTTGGCATAAAAAAGCAGAAGACGCAGGGGTCCCGCATGGCCAGGCCTGTGAACCTCTGCTTTTCCAGTCTGTGCATTTTCCTTTGCTAAAGGTCTTTACTTTAGGAACCCTGCCAGAGGGCCTTTCCCTCATCTCGTGGTCTGTGCTCATTGTCCCAAGAAGTATTTGTCGTGCAGGTTTGTAAAACAAGCCCATCTTTGTTTTGGGTGTGATGCCCTTTTTATGCCAAGTTTTTATCCAAATGTATCCAGCCTTTGTTTGAGGCTGTTGTGCGTGAAGCTTGGTGTGTTTGTGCAGCAGGGACTGTGTAGCGCACCCCTCACACACCGCGTAGTGTATTACAGATAAAAGGAAGTTGTAATACTATAATAAGAATAATAATTCCTTACACTTATACGGTGCTTTTCTGGACACTCCACTCAAAGTGCTTTACAGTTAATGGGGACTCCCCTCCACCACCAGCAGTGTGCAGCCCCACCTGGATGATGAGACAGCAGCCGTTGTGCATCAGTCCACTCCCCACACACCAGCTCTCAGTGGGGAGGAGAACAGAGTGATGAAGCCAGTTCAGAGACGGGGATTATAAGGAGGCCATGATTGCTAAAGGCCAGGGGGAAGTTTTGGCCAAGACACCAGGGTAACACCCCTACTCTTTTTGCGAAACTCCCTGGGATATGTAACAGAGACTCGGGACCTCGGTTTTATGTCTCATCCAAAGGGCAGTACCTTTTTACAGTATAGTGCCCCCATCACTGTACTGGGGCATTAGGATCCACAGAGACTGCAGGGTGAGTGCCCCCTACTGGCTCCACTAATACCCCTTCCAGCAGCAAGCTCAGTTTTCCCAGGAGGTCTCCAGGTACTGGCCAGGCTCACACCTGCTTCAGGGGGTTACCAGTTGTGTGAGTTGCAGGGTGATTTGGCGGCTGACTAAAAGAACGCAAACTCACCTTAGAAAGGGCACACATGTCAATCGCTGAACTCGACAACGATGGGGATTAATAATAATAATAATGGATTAAAGCGACTTACTTAATCGCTTCCTGGATATGTGCGGATCTTGCGTTTCTGCAGCTGCTTTCTGAAATTCAGGAGTGACTGTGGCTCGAGGGGGAGGACAGACCCTTCTCTGCGCAAGCGAATCCTGAAGCATGCGGTTCGGAATGTCTCCCGGAGTGTGCGTCGTGTTGTAAACCATCGGCCGTGTGTCTCTCTCCGGTGCAGCTACGACCTGGGCATCGAGAACCGCGATGCCACGGAGGACCGCGTGACGGTGGAGGCCGCCGAGGCAGTCAGGCGTTACAACGTGGGCATCAAGTGCGCCACCATCACGCCGGACGAGAAGCGGGTGGAGGAGTTCAACCTGAAGAAGATGTGGAAGTCGCCCAACGGCACCATCCGTAACATCCTGGGCGGCACCGTGTTCCGGGAGGCCATCATCTGCAAAAATATCCCGCGGCTCGTCACCGGATGGGTCAAGCCCATCATCATCGGGAGGCACGCACATGGAGACCAGGTACCCCACTGGTGTCTCTCTGCTCGCTGGCCTGTCTCTGGGGGGCACCTTCTCCGTCTCCGCTCTCTGCTCGCTGTCCTGTCTCTGGGGGGCACCTTCTCCGTCTCCGCTCTCTGCTCGCTGTCCTGTCTCTGGGGGGCACCTTCTCCGTCTCCTCTCTCTGCTCGCTGTCCTGTCTCTGGGGGGCACCTTCTCCGTCTCCTCTCTCTGCTCGCTGTCCTGTCTCTGGGGGGCACCTTCTCTTTTCCTCCCCCCCTCCTTTTGGCCTGTGTCTGTCACTCAGTGTCCTGTCAGACAGGGGGCTGGCTGCAGCCACATGTGGGGTGAGTCTGTTCAGCACAGCGAGGGCACGTTATTAGTTTTAATAACTGTCATTTTAATTTAATAAGTGACATTTTAATTTAACTAAACGTCACGTGACACCTGTACCAAAGCAAAGGTGAGGTGCAAAGCTGCTGTTAGCAAAAGTGCCCTTTAGACTGTGGCTCTGGCCTGGCAGACTCTCGGTTTTCAAGGCCGACGTGCGCAATAATCTCAAAGGTCTAACTGGGATTGTGCGCTTGAGTCCCCGACGCTCTTTTGCAATCGGGCTGTTGTGTAACCGGCTGCTTGAGGAGGCGCCCGAGCTGGGACCAGGAGCAGGTCTCCCCCACCACTCTCCGCCTCCCCGAGCCTGAAATCGGGAAGCACGATCCGACCTCTTGCCGCTCAGGCATCGCAGTCACAGCGGCGGGCTTGTGCGCGCTTCGGCCTGTAGGTGGTGATACACTTTCCTCCCGTCCTTCACGCTCAATTTGAAAGAGTGAGCGTGTCAATGTGAGAGGCGTCATGGATGTCGTCGTAGGTCCATGAGAGCAAGCCTCTTTGATCGCTCTTCTCAGGGACAGAAGAAAGTCCTGATGGTGCCAGGTGCCCCGTGAGGCCAGCTCCGAGGTGTACCTCGATTTGTGGCCTCGGTTTCCTTCGTATTTGGGGAGTGTGCGGTTGTACCATCTTTCCTGCTGTAAGAGCCCTCCCGTCCCCTGTTGCCCTGCAGTACAAAGCCACGGACTTCGTGGTCCCCGGGCCCGGCCGCGTGGAGATGAAGTACACACCCAAGGACGGAGGAGAGCCCCTCATGTTTGTGGTCCACGACTTTCAAGGTACGGGCAGGAGCTGCTGTGGAAAGAGTCTACCCGAGACAGCGCCGCTCCCGATAAGCGGAGCTCCGGCGCTCCGAGACAGCGCCGCTCCCGCCCAGCGGAGCCCCAGCGCTCCGAGACAGCGCCGCTCCCGCCCAGCCGAGCTCCGGCGCTCTGAGACAGCGCCGCTCCCGCCCAGCGGAGCTCCGGCGCTCCGAGACGGCTAGAACACCCCTGGCTGTGCGTGTGCAAGGGAGATCCGTGAGGGCCTTGTTCCGTCTGTTGGTGTGGGTGCATCAGCACACAGAGTGGTAGAGGAGTTTATTGCCATACGTACATGTACATTGGAGTTCTTATTTGCACTGCTCTCTGGGGACACACAGTACAGCAGACAACGCCACACAGTGTAGACAGTACATTACACGCATAATAAATAATAACAGAACCATAAATGTGTTGTGGGACAATAATTATGTAATAATGAAGAAAAAAAAGCTGGTAGACCATGCAAAATTGCATAGTGCAAGTGTGTATTCAGTCTGAGGCATTGCAGAGCTAGCTGTTGAGGATGCACACTGCAGTGGGATAGAGACGTAGTGTGGACACACAGTGTGCGATGTGAACCAACAAGCGTTTCCTCTGTCTCCGCTGGTGTGCCTGTGACAGGAAGTGGGGGCGTGGCCCTGGGCATGTACAACACGGACAACTCCATCAGGGACTTCGCTCACAGCTCCTTCCAGATGGCGCTGAGCAAGGGCTGGCCGCTGTACCTCAGCACCAAGAACACCATCCTGAAGAAGTACGATGGCCGCTTCAAGGACATCTTCCAGGAGATCTACGAGAAGTATGGTCGGGCTTGTGGCCGGGTTCCCCTCTGCTTGCCTTGCTAGCTCCCCCCAGACCTGGTGCTGCTCCAGTCGGCGGGTTTTAAGGATTTTGAGTTTCGGGAATGTTGGCGTTTTCAAACATGGTGTTGCAGGGTGCAGGGCTTTGTCTTAAAGCTTTTTTGTTTTTGTTGTTATTAAGAACCTTTTGCACTGTTTCACACACACACACACACCCCCTCCTCTTCCTCATACACAGTTGTTGGAAAGACATCCCCCCTCTTCCTCATTCACAGCTGTTACATCTCCCTCCTTTTCCTCATTCAGTCATTAGAAAATCCTACCTCACCTGCATTAAAGAGACCTCCCTTTTCTTCCTCATTCCCAGTGGTTAGACCTCCCCCGTCTTCCTCGTTCACGGCTCCTCGTCAGGGAGTCGTGCTGGTGGAGCCCCGGCTGTGTCTTACTGAGCTCTGCGCTTGTTGCAGGGAGTACCAGGCCCAGTTCGAGGCCAAAGCCATCTGGTACGAGCACCGGCTGATCGACGACATGGTGGCCCAGGCCATGAAGTCCGAGGGCGGCTTCATCTGGGCCTGCAAGAACTACGATGGAGACGTGCAGTCTGACTCCGTGGCACAGGGTGAGACTCCCGGGCCGGGCAGGGTTCCTTCCAGGAGACGAGCAAGGCATGTGCCTTCGTTTTCCCCACTGCGGGGATGCACCTGAGCCCAGCTGTGCCCGCCGGAGAGAAGGTCCGCACAAGGTGATACACTTTCTTCTCGTCCCCAGCCCTCGTGGGCTGAATGATGGGGGCGGGGGGGAGGATCTAGGCTCTGCTGTAACTGGGAGCAGCAATAACCTGGATCTGGCTGTCTGAGCGCCGCAGCCCGGGGAGGAGCTGTGCTCCATGTGTACTTCCACTTTTCCCCATGGGCGGAGAAACACCCGAGCCTCCCGAGAAAGATCCATACCCGTTCGTTGCCGATGGAGTTTGCTGCCTTTCCTTGTCCTGGTGTGGGGTGGCTGCGCTGCTCACGAGGTGCCCCTCGGGCTGGTACTCGGACTTGGGGTGCTCAGTGCTGATGGTTTGCGTCCCCCCCCCTGCAGGCTACGGGTCCCTGGGGATGATGACGAGTGTGCTGGTGTGCCCCGACGGGCGCACAGTGGAGGCCGAGGCAGCGCACGGCACCGTGACGCGGCACTACCGCATGCACCAGCAGGGCAAGGAGACGTCCACCAACCCCATCGGTGAGGGCCGGAGCCGCCTCTCTTTCTCTCTGCCGCCCGCCCTGGTCCTTCCGGCCTCCCGCGCGCCTGCAGTAGCTCCTCTCAGAAAGCCGGCCTTGTCCCTCTTCGTCTTGCCCTCCTAGCCTCCATCTTCGCCTGGACGCGGGGGCTGGCGCACCGGGCGGAGCTGGACCGCAACGCCGAGCTGCGCGCGTTCTGCCAGGCGCTGGAGGCCGTGTGCGTCGAGACCATCGAGGCCGGGTTCATGACCAAGGACCTGGCCGCCTGCATCAAGGGGCTGCCAAAGTGAGTCACCTGGACACACCCTCCGTCTGCCCTCGCCCGCCCGCCCACCACTGCTGTACCACACTGTCGGGCTCCTGCTCTCGGCGCTGTCCAGCTGCTGGTGCTCTCGGCGCTGTCCAGCTGCTGGTGCTGTCCAGCTGCTGGTGCTGTCCAGCTGCTGGTGATCTCGGCGCTGTCCAGCTGCTGGTGCTGTCCAGCTGCTGGTGCTCTCGGCGCTGTCCAGCTGCTGGTGCTGTCGGCACAGCCCGTCTTGTAGCATTGTCTGGCTGCGTCTGTCTGCGCTGTCCAGTCATTACCCATGTGACATTTGTGTTTTAACCTGGATCATGGCTTCCGTGCCTATAACCCAGAGCTGTTCAACACTAGATTATAAAACAGGGAGGTTCGTCTGTGTTTTTGACACCTTCTGTATGGTCTGGTGTGGTATGTGGTGTGGTGATAAACTCTGAGGTGCTGTCCTCACTGACCGATCTTTCCATTTGCAGCGTGCAGCGGTCCGACTACCTGAACACCTTTGAGTTCCTGGACAAGCTGGCGGAGAACCTGAAGACAAAAATGGCGAGCCAGCCCAAACTGTGAGCCTGCTCACCAGGATGGACACGGACACACACACACACACACACACACACACACACACACACACACACACACACCTGGGCCACACGCCCATGTCCTCCGAGTGGCGCGGGAGCCCGGGTGCAGAGGCAGCACGCGCCCACAGAGAGTCCGGACTCGTGCACGCTGAGCCCCGGTCCCTGAGGGGGGGCTGAACGAGTGGCCACATAACAAAATGCCCACCATCCCAGCTTAACCTGTCTGTAATAGTTTCTGTTTCCTCCAAGGGAAGAACACTGTGACATTTTTAAAGGAGTACTCCTGCCTGCTTACTGGGTGCTATTTCCATCCCAACCCCAAACGGAAACCATGCCGCCATTCCGAATTCGCCCCAAATCCTGAATCAGTGTTTCTCTATCGGGCACAGCCCCCTGCT